AAATATCATTGCGCCTGCTGCCCCATGGTACGGCAGCAAAATTCCTTGATTATTACGCCGGAATGAGAGTATAGTTCCTAGCCATATCGGCCTAGAAAATCACAACTTTTCATTTTCCGTCGGACTAAGTACACGATGCACCTACAGAAGAGTCAAGTTTTAAATAGGAAAAATATCGAAACTCTTTGGTCATTTTTGAGCGAGATGCTAACGGTCTAATCAGATTCAATGATCTATGCTAAGCTACAGCTAAAAGTGCTACCGCCAGACCCGGAGATCGGCTGAATGGATTCGAAAACGGTAAAACTCAACTGTTTAACTCTAGGGGAGTTGGAAAATGAGCCTAGTTTCAAAAATAGTGGAGTGTTTCTTTTAAATGTTATATTTTTTTATTCTGAGGTGGAAATGGAAATGCACTTCCATTTAACAGTGCACAAAAGCTTTTTTCTTACTCGGCCTCTGAAATTAATTTCCTTCTCACTCAACCTCTCCAAGCCCTCTTATTTTTCATCACTTGTCACCTAGAGACCATTTTCTGCTTTTCTGGTTGGACTGTTATTTTCCTTTCAAGATGCATGTATCCAGCAAAGCTTTAATCCCATAAATGGGAAAAATATCGAAACTCTTTGGTCATTTTTGAGCGAGATGCTAACGGTCTAATCAGATTCAATGATCTATGCTAAGCTACAGCTAAAAGTGCTACCGCCAGACCCGGAGATCGGCTGAATGGATTCGAAAACGGTAAAACTCAACTGTTTAACTCTAGGGGAGTTGGAAAATGAGCCTAGTTTCAAAAATAGTGGAGTGTTTCTTTTAAATGTTATATTTTTTTTATTCTGAGGTGGAAATGGAAATGCACTTCCATTTAACCGTGCACAAAAGCTTTTTTCTTACTCGGCCTCTGAAATTAATTTCCTTCTCACCCAACCTCTCCAAGCCCTCTTATTTTTCGTCACTTGTCACCTAGAGACCATTTTCTGCTTTTCTGGTTGGACTGTTATTTTCCTTTCAAGATGCATGTATCCAGCAAAGCTTTAATCCCATAAATGTTTTTTATTTCATTGTATATAATTGTTCAGGCTTTTAAATTAGAGTAAAAATGCTAATTAATGTGAAATTACACCTCACGCAAACCACATGATGAAGCACACTGCTCAAATGCTCACATATGCTGTGAACAGACCAAACCTGATCTGACTGGACGCTGCCTGTGCGAATGAGTCACCAAGAAGATGAAACCCGGTTGAGCGTGCAATCTAGGTTTGAGTGGTGACACCAGAGCAGGGTTGTGCATCCGCCCTCAGGGCTTCTGAGTAAATGAGGAAATGACATCTTCATGATGCTCGTGCATTGAACAGAAGCTTTAATGAGAGGTCTCGCACTCGTTACTTCCCCTTCAGCGCACGTATACAAATGTGCCCACACACAAACATGGCCGCCCCACCCAGGGCCAGCGGACACTCGCTTTGGAATCAGCGACAGCTGGGACTGTATTTAACTAATTCAACCAGTCTTCCCTGAAGCAAGCGTGCTAATAAATCTCTCTTTCTCAGGAATCGGGGGCGAGGGAAAGCTCTGGTGGAGGATGAAGACAGCACAGATGGAATGGAGACTGCAGAAACAGGAAGCACACAGGAGACAGGTAACTGCAGCCTTGTCTAACTTTCACCCTGGCTTGCTTTGCCTCTCTTTTCTTCTCTCCTCCCCCACATATACCCTCTTTAAATGTATTTTCCCACTGCTCTGGGTTTTCTGTGTCAGTCTTTTCTTTTCAGCCGTCACATCCCCCTTCCTCAAGAGTCAGAGAGCGAGGCCACCTCTCCTCTGAGGCAGTTCCACTGATAAACAAAATCACAATGTGGAGCCCAGAATTGATTTTCTTTCCCAGCTGCGCAGTCAATCTAACTCAAACCTCGGCCGGCCGAGGAGGAGCTTTCGAGAGGCTCGGCCGTCCACACTCCTTGAGCAGGATTGATGAGATTTTCGCCCGTCTCCACATGGCTCCGCTCTCTAGCTCTAATTGAAAGGATTTGACTCCAGCCACAGCCTTTCTGTTCTGGAGTCAGCCCAGCACCTCTCAAAGCATGTGATTGAGATTCGCAGCAGCCGGTGAAAGCTAATGCCCGCTGAAAGCCTTTTAAAATCCCATCTTCCTCTCATTTTCTCTGCCCTTTTGCCTGCTCGTGGCTCGTGGCCTTCTGTTGACGGTATGATGTACGTTCTGGTTCACAAGCAGATTAATTACTTGTTTTGGTTACAGTTGAGTTTATATTATTTAGATTTAGAGGGGTTTTTAAATTAGTGGTATTTTGTGAAGCCATCAATATTATTGTTTTTCATTCTTACTCCTAACTCTTAAGTGTTGTCACCTCACTAGTGCAGCAAAGTTTTTTTTTTTTAGTGGACATGAATGTCATTTAAAAAATGTTGGGTTGTTTAGAAGAGATGTGCTGTTCTTTTGTCATCATTATGAAAGCATTCAAATTAAACAGACATTATTATCTACAAGAAAAAAATGTTAATTTATTTATATGACAATAAGTTATATATTTTCAAATTAGGCTAACACTCAATTTGGGGGTTGGTGAGATTTTCAAATGATTTTGAAAGAAGTCTCTTCTGCTCACCAAAGCTGCATATATCTGATCAAAAAATACAGTAAAAACAATAATAGTGTGAAACATTATTGCAATTTAAAATTTAACTGCTTTCTATTTGAATATATTTAAAAATTTAATTTATTTCTGTGATGCAAAGCTGAATTTTCAGCAGCATTCCTCCAGTCTTCAGTGTCACATGATCTTCAGAAATCATTCTAATATGCTGATTTAACAAATATTTTACTTATATTTGTTATTATTTTGCTGAAAACATTTCTTATTATCAATGTTGAAAACAGTTGTGGTGCTTAATAATTTTTAGGAGCTATGATAAAAAAAATAATTTAATTGAAGAACAAAAAAATTTATTTGAAATAGAAATATTTTGTAGCATTATACATGTATATACATACTGCCCCTTTTGATCAATTTAATGCATCCTTGCTGGATAAAAGTATTAATTTATTAAAAAAATAAATCAACCTACAATCCCTGCCGGTACGAGACTCGAACCCGCAATGAATAGCATGTTGCTATTCATTTTGTAGCATGTTCTGAGTGTTTGTATGTTCTTGCCGTCTCCAGGGTGTTCTGAGCGTTTCTAGCAAATTGCTATTAGATGCTAACATAGTTTTTTTTTTAACACATTGCTGTTTAGTTTCTATTAGGGCTGTGCGATATTCGAAAAAAAATGCGATGCGCGATACCTTGTTAAAAAAATGCGATATGCGATACGATATTGCTTAAAGTGTGAAAAATATTTTTAAATTATATTTTAAAATATTTAAAAATTAAAATTATATAACCAATGTTTCACATTCTTTCTTGGAAAAGAAAGAATCACTACAACTTCTGAAAGTGACCAGCAGTGTTTTAGCAGTACATAAAAAGTAATGTCACAAATCAGAAAATGTAATTTTAACATCAATGTGAATGACAAAAAAATGAATGACACTAATTTTATATCATTGTGACTTTGCTTTCCACACACTTTAAGTACTTCTTCATATACCACAGCAAACACTATAGTCTGAGAAAGTTCAAACATGATTAAAGGCAAGTGAACAGTCAGTGAAAAAAAAGAAAGAAAAGGGGGGAAAAAAGAACAAATACACAATTTACAAGCATAGATAAAATAAACAGTAGTATTCAGGTACAGAAATTTAATAATTAAGTGTAAAATAACACTGCATTGTGTTCACCGTATGAATGACATTTAAATTAATCTTTGTTATAGCTGTTTTGTTTGATTAACATTAGTGTCATATTCAGCAGCACGTATTTATAGGCTGCTGTCCCTTTAAATCCGACTCCACGGATCCAGTATAATGATACACATCTGATTTCTTTCTCCGCTGTTTACATTCTTTTAAAATATAATTGACTGCGTTTTTGAGAATGATCGTCGAGATGGGTACTATTGACATAGTTCTGTATGTATGTGTCTGTTCAAAAATGAGGAGGAGATGCGAAACACGAATCAACTCGCTGTTCGTACGCCATCTGAAACGCGTCTCTCTGTGTGTGTGTGTGTGTGCGCGCGCTTTGCACGTGTGGCAGAACGGAAGATATGCTGTGCGAGATGCGGCTTGTGCGGGCGGGTCGGGTGTGGGTCTGTCAGAAAGAAAAACAGGCTGCTGTCCCTTTAAATCCGACTCCACGGATCCAGTATAATGATACACATCTGATTTCTTTCTCCGCTGTTTACATTCTTTTAAAATATAATTGACTGCGTTTTTGAGAATGATCGTCGAGATGGGTACTATTGACATAGTTCTGTATGTATGTGTCTGTTCAAAAATGAGGAGGAGATGCGAAACACGAATCAACTCGCTGTTCGTACGCCATCTGAAACGCGTCTCTCTGTGTGTGTGTGTGTGTGCGCGCGCTTTGCACGTGTGGCAGAACGGAAGATATGCTGTGCGAGATGCGGCTTGTGCGCGCGGTTCAGGTGTGAGTCTGTCAGACAGCAAGACGAGACGGTAAAGAGTTGTTTTCTGCAACTTATTGCACTTAATAACTCTTTTTAATGTCAAGCAATTCTCTGCAAACTAAAGCGTTGACCTTTTGCAATGTTTTGATTTAAGTAGCCTATTATATAAATGATTCAAATATTGCACGCCGTTGTGATACGCATATCGCGATATTTGATATTTTCGATATATTGTGCAGCCCTAGTTTCTATGGTGTTCTGAGTGCTTTAGGCTCTCTTTAGTCAGTTTATAGCCTGATCAGACTGTGTTTAGCACATTCAGACAATATCTAGGCTGTTGTAAGTGCTGGTAACATTGCTTTCAGATAGTATTCTCATTGTTTTTAGCATGTTCTTACTAGGGTTTCTAGGGTGTGAGTGTTTTAGCATGTTGCTATTCAGTTTATAGGATGTTTTGGCACACTCTTACTGTTTCTAGGGTGCTCTGAGTGTTTGTAGCAAACTGCTATTCAGATTAGGGCTGAACAATTTTGGAAAATAATCTAATTGCAATTTTTTTCCCCCCAATATTGTGATTGCGATTTAATATGCAATTATTTTTTAAAGCTCTTTATGTTCTGTAGTATGACCAACACAATATTAGATATATTAAACATAAATGTTCTTTTCTGTAGGCCAGGCCTATGTGTTACGATGAAATTAGGTGATGCATGAATTGATATGAATGACATTTTTATTTAACAACTACAGTCACAGTATATTGACTAATTTGTTGAACTTCCAACCTTGTAAGCATGTAATAATTATGACAACATAAAGCACTGACATATAAGCCTGGTGTAAACATTAATATGAAAGTCAGTAACAAATCACACAAACTAAAGTAGATTGCAGAAATATAAAAACAAATCTGTTGCTTTACCAGACTACTTTAGGTAATTCAGAGTCACTGTAATAAACATATGTAAACATGTGGACTGCACTAAACACTGTCTGTTAAAGGTACAATAGGAGATCTTGGAAAATGCTAACTTTAGCCTGATAGCACTGAAAGCGAACGTCCCACCCTCCCTGCAATCGCCGTCCAAAGCCACGTCCCTGAGCGCATTTACGCTCACAGACCAGAGACAACATTACTACAATAGGCTACATCAGCGGTTCCCAATTCCAGCCCATGTTCTGAAGTGAAGTAAACTTCAACGGATTTCCCTGCTCAGGGAGTAGGGAGCAATGAACACTTTGTAGGGATCATATCGATCGGAACACAGTTCATGCACGTAGCTCACTTCTAATGAGCTGGCGCGAGGACTGGATTAACCGCTGGGCTACATCATGTGTCATTCACCGGTGAGAAATCTTTAAAAATACTACAATACCAGGAAGAAAGATCGGGTTGTTGATGTTTGTCTGTCATTCTCGCTCTGTCTGCACAGCGTGCGTGAATGCGCTGATGACGTATCCTGTCTGCGCGAACGGGGTGCGCAGAGGTATGCTTATACATACGTTGACAGACAGGTAGGAAAGCATATTAAAACGCTCGGACCGAGTGTTTTGATTGGACGAACATTTCTTGATCCTATGCCTTCCACAGAATATATAAATACAGACAAATACATTTAGACCACTTAACTTAATAATTGCTATCGGGATGTGTAGAGACTTTCAACCAGCATAACAAAAAATGTTTCTGAAGACAATCACCTATTGCACCTTTAACTTTAGACCAGTGGTTCTCAAACATTTTTGGTCGTGCCAAATAATTTCACTAAACATTATGAAAAATTTATGCTTTTTTAATTAAAAAAACCTACCGGGAATAAAACACCTGCATCACTTGAAACTATGAAAAATAGCATAGAGAGAATAACATTATTATTATTATTATTATTATTATTCTCTGTTATTTATTAATTTATTGTGGGTTTCATGCTGTCCGCTAAAGCATAGGACACATACAGGCTTTCCTCCTCACCAGCGAAATGAAACACTGTGCGGCAAAATACAGTGGAACCATTATAATCAGTGACGCTGTCTACACTGGATGCGATGCGACACGACAAAACTCAACATTAAACTGATGCCTTGTTCTATTTATGATGTATTGATACA